AATTGTTTGACAAAAATGTTGAGTGAGGCAGACTTCTCAGTCTTCCATATCCAACTACTGGCTGTTAGGCTGAATGTGGTCTTCTGGATATTTTTGACGGCTTCATTTTGCCTTGGCGAGAAGGGGAATGGTGCCACAGGTGAGATAAATTCTGCCTTGCTGCCAAATACCATTTGCTCCCAGCTTCTGTGCAACAACTGCCACTCACTATCTGTCGAGGTAACAGTAGCCTGACTCTGTATTTGAGTCAGCAACAGCTGTTTGTTGCTTTCCCAGCTTTTGCAGAAGTAACAGCCCGGCTCTCTGTGTTAGAAGCAGCAGTTGTCCCTTCCAGCTTTGCTGTGTAACAACTGCCTGGATCTCTGCGGCAGGTGCAGGAGGAGCATTTTCAACAGCAGCTGCTGCCAGATGGGGAAGTCAGCTGCTTTCCTGTGATGTGGAGGTAGGCTAAAGCCTGCACTGTTGAGGTGGGGGGGGGGTCACAAAGGGTCTCAAAACCCAGATCCAGCTGTTACGGGTGTCGGGGTCAGACCACCCTGCAAGGGATTTAGAAGAGCAAGTCTGTCATCCTGCATTATAGCTTTCTGGAAGTCCCTCCTAGGTTTATCTTGAATGCCTTGAAGTCTGCCTGCCCTCCGACTTTTCTCCGACTGAATTCTTTCCTCAGTGACTACTTTGCTTCTTTTATGTAACGGTGATTAAGGTTACTGTGTCAGTTAAATAGACCCCTAATGGTTAGCTGTGAATCTTTCCAAGGGTAAACTCTCCATCACTAAGGGGATGATTAATCTGCGGAGCTACCTGAAAAAAATTTGGAGAAGTGTTATGAAATTTTATTAAATGGAAATCTAAATCTACCTGGTGGAAACACTTACCTGGCCTGGAAGACCAGGATGCTAAGAAAGTTGTTATTGAATGTTAAAACTTTTATCTTCAGAACCTGGTTTTATGCACTCAGTGCAAAACAATAATTTTTTCATCTTCACATTCATTTTCCTCTTGTGTGGTCTACAAAAAAAAACACAGAAGAGACTGCACAGTCTTTGGAGCTGGAGCTGCTGTGAAGGTTTAAAATGCTATCCTAGATTTAGAGGAAATGTAGAAAGAAAGAGGAGAAGGAACTTCTTCTACCTTTTCTTCCCCTTTGTCCTTCAGAAAAAAATTGTATGGTTTCTTTTTGATGTGTAAAGGTTTACAAATCAGTGAGCCTTGAAGGTTTTACCTTTACTGTCGTGGTTTGTTTCTTTCAGTTTGATGACGTAGAGGATGTGCCGATTGTTGATTGAATCAAGAGTTAGTAGTATTCTGGTAGGAATTTTCTTCTAAAATATTTAATGCTTTTTATCAAGTAGATCTCCCATGAAAATAAAGCTGAATTAAAAAAAAATTCTCCTCAACTAGTATCACTTTACTTGCTTAGTAACAAAGATGTATTTTTGCGTCTTTGGAGCTCATCTGCTTTTTGCTGTATTTTGAAGTTTGTTTTTTTTTTTTTCCCCCTTCTGTTTGTTTTTTTTTTTTTTTCTATTCAATTATTTTTTATTTGGTTTTTGCTTGAGTAGAATGAAAGGCATAAAAATGAGCAAAAAATCTGTATGTACTGTAAATAACTAAACCCCGTGACTCTTAGTCTGCCATCCTAGATAAGTGAGGCATATAGCCTTATGGTGCCCAGGTGTCCCCTGGACTCATACCAATTAATATATTCCAAATTTCATGAAAATACAGCCAGGTAATATGGAAAGAAGTCCATCAAAGGAAGCTCTTACAAATATTCCAGCCATAGGAAAAGCTTAAATCAGCCCTTGCTATTAGGGATGAGAGACAAACCCACAAGAAACCAGATTTTGTTAATTTTGTTGCTCACAGAACCTGCTGGCTTCCTGTGTGTATTTCCCTAAAAAAAGCAAAAGCAGGCCAGGTTGTTCTGGGACTAATCTGTCGCTACGGAGTCCTTGATGTCACATCGCCTTTACCAGTGAGGGACTACCTGTCTTGTGTGCATAATTTCTTAGGGAACGTTAAAGACATGCAAACCAGACTATTTTCTTGAATTTGTCTTGCATGACATGATGTGGTTAAAAGGAAGCAAAATTTATTATTTTTTCTTTTTTGTTTGGTCTTACTGATGGATTACGACTTGAGGCAGGGATTTGTATGTGGTAGTGTGTAGTGTCTGAATGCTGAAATATTATTCTGAAGAATCTTAGTTTGCTGCAACTGTGACATTAACAGGGTGTTGAGGAAGATCTTGGAATGTCTGTTTTGTGGTTATGTTGATAAGTAACACTCATTCATTCATTGTCATTCAGAAATGTTTGTTTTCTGTTTTACTGACAACTAGCAAAAACAGTCTGTCTGGAAGTGAAATCTTTGGTTTAGAACTCCTCAAATCCAGATATTAAAAGAGATGGTAAAAATGGTCTAAGGGTTTTCAAGAAAACTGCTTTTCTTTGGTATTAAGAATTCTGATGTTTTTGATTTTTAGTTAGTGTTTACACCTGTCCATTCCCGTTACCCAATGACTCTGCATTGCTAAGAGAGCAAGAGCGGGCTTCTATTTTAGACTGTAAATCACCAACAAGATGATTTAGGAAGGATGCAGTGAATACAAGGGAATTAGTTGCTTAATTACTTTGCCTCCGCTGTGATGAGGTAACTCCTTTCACTGTGTGGTCTGGCAGAAGGGTAAGCTAATTTTGTTTAGTTTATCTCAAAATAAAAGTATGCCAAAATGAGCTGAATTGATTTGTGGTTAGGATGGGCTAAGAGTGTGCATATGCACAGTTGCAAGTCAGCTGAGCTGTGGGCATGATATTAAGAGGTGGCAACTAAAACCTGTATTTGAGCCCTGAATTCTAGATACCCTCTCCTCAACTTCATCTGTGCAGCCCAGGGTGGAAAACAACACATTGTTGGTCAGGTTCTTATTGTAGGTTGGAACACAACTTAGTTCTTAGAAAGGTCATGCAGAGTTTGCAGGACTGATAAATGAGAAATTTATTTCTGTAATGACCAGATTTTTAAGTGTATTTCACTTAATTGTAAACAGAACCTCAGACTGTCAGTTGTGCAAAACTTTTTCTCAAAGTAAGACAGCAGAGCTGTCTACATCAATTTCAGTGGCAGGTTTCTGGTAGTATGAACCCTCCTGTGATTTCAGAAATGACAAGCTCAAGCACTGCACTCCCCAAGCTTACCTGGAGTAAGCATATATAACCTTTGCATTTGCTAGGGAATGTGTTAAAGTATTGTTTCATTTTTAACTTCAGAAATAACTGCAACAAGTAATGGAAGAGAAGGCAAAATGATGCTTCTGAAGAGCAAAACTGTATTTTAGAAAGATTTTTAGCACTCCCGATGCAAAATGGGTGAAATTCAGTGTTAACACAACATGCTGTCAGCAATTCAAGAAATTTTGTCTTGTTCCAGAGAGAATCGGTCTGGCCATGAGAGCATTGTGGATCAATAGAAACTGCTGCTGCCCCTCTGGAGGCAAAAAATCTCTGAAATGTCGTCTTGTGATCCTTGTGCTCCTCCAGCCTTATCCATTTTGTGTAGAAATACTGCACATAATGCTTCATAAGCGTGGAATTCTTCAGCGTTGAATTTGGGGAGAAAGAATCGGCCTTGAATTTCTCCATGATTTCTTTTCCACTTTTTATTTCTTCGTTGTTGTAAGTTGGGAGAAATGTCCGAGCATGGAAAATGAATGACCTGATGGCTTTTTATATCTTGGGAGCAAAAATGTGTCTGTGTTTGTGCCTAGTCCCCTTTTTCTCTTATCACATAAAGGAAAAACAGGACTATATATCTTTGGAATGAGGAAAACTGATCTGTTTGCTGCTACTATCTAACTCTGTATTATTACTGTTAAAAGGCTGGATTTTTTAAAATGTAGTTTTATATAAACTTTCTGTAAACTTCTTTTTATGTACCTGTGTGGTAGAGCAGAAGGAACATGATCATGTTTCAGATCTTGTAAAACTCCTCTTGTGTGCTTGAATACAGAGCATAGCTTTGATTAGGATGAGAGAAATTCCAGGAAAAACTTAGCTGTTGTGATTTTTCCCCTCTGCTGAAAGATATCTGATATCCTTCAATGTGAATGGTGGCAAATACGTGGCAGAGTGAATAGCAACGCTCTATCTGCTGAAGTTGGATAGTTGAAAAGGTATGGGTATCAAAAAAAAAAAAAGCAGGGTGCTGCATCAAGGTTTTTGCTGAGTAGAGGTGCTCTCTTGTATTTGGAATTAAGCTCAATTTACAATGCAATTTTGTGGGATGTTATCACTACTTTAAAAAGGCTATTGTGTTAGATTTCTTGAACTAGGTAAAGCCTAGTAGGGCTAGAACAACATGCAAGCTTTTTTTCTGAAAGGAAAACACTGTAAATGTTTCATTATATAGTCTTCATTTTAAATAGTTTCACAAAGGGTGCTCATTTGTACATGCAATAGTAAGTTGGCACTTTGACGATCAAAAATTCATACTCGCCACCTTCTTTTCCTCTTACACTGCACTGTGTAACACCCAGAGGGAGTAGGGGTCTAAGATGATGGTGGAGGCAGTAGGGTTTATATATGTGTTTCTGGCTTTAGATAAAACATTTCAGCCATCTCAAACATCATTTTAAGTATTAAGTGTTCTTGTGCTCCCTTTTAAGATAGTATGAGTCTTTCATACGTTTGAACTTAGAATTCTCAGAGCACCTTTTTGGGACAGCACTATTGTCCTAATTTTACAAATAACTACTTTGTCTTGCTTTCCTATGTGTCTTGCTCAAGGTTATACAAGAATCCTCTGGTGGAACAGGGAATTGTATCCAATTGTTTGATGTTTAAAACTTGAAATCTGATTTCTTCATTACCCTCTCCTAATAGAAATGAAAAACCTATGCCTTTCCTGTCATTCTGCTGAAATTAATTACATTATAAGTATTAATACTTCAATTTTGATCAATGCTTTTAATTCTGTTTACTGCTTCTTTTTCTTTTTAGGCATGTACTGGTATTGAAAATATTGATGAAGCTATAACATTGCTTGAACAAAATAACTGGGATTTAGTGGTAAGTATTTTAAGAAAATGACTTCATAGATCAACTTCATGTAGCAGTGACGTGTGCCATCTTGCTGAGACAGCTGTTATCTTTATTTCAAATTTCGGTGTGTCTTTTATGGCTGGGACAAGCAGATTATATGCAGACTGTTTCTGGTCTGTCAAAGCCTCATTGCCAAGTTGACATGATACTGAGTTGTATCTACCCTGATACATGCTGATTGTCTTCATGCCTTTTTGATTTGTTTCTTTTCCTTTAAATCAATGTTTCTTATTATGTTTAGTTTTCCTTTTTGATTAATTGTATGCATAATTTGGTAAGTAGTATTATTAAGGATAGCATTTTTAGAAGATGCCTTGTGTATACACACAAGATTTTTGAGGATTTAGGTGCCCATGGAAGAAACGGAAGGTAAAACAACTTCAATCTTTCATATGCTCTTACTTTAAAAATAAGATAGTTGCTCATCTGTTAGTTGTTATGCAGAATTGAGTAGTGATTAAGGCCATACATTATTTAGATTTGGTGTTATCCAGACACAGTTAAACACACACACAAATAACCCAACAAACAAACTCATCCTAAGAAAACCTATCGTCTGTATTGTAACAAGGTTCGATGTGCAGACAAATAGGAGGAAACCAATAAAACAAGAAAAACAGTCTTAGGTATTTTAAGACTCTGCATAGGATTATCAGGATAAATAAACTATTAATCCATTTTCTTAAGGTTTAAAAATGTAAAACAGAACAAACTTAGTTAAAAAGCAAGTAATCTTCCTTTAAACTGTAATACCTTTGATTTTGTCCTCCTTTGTGTTTGTTTTTTCCTTTTCAAAATGAATGATGTTTGGATCCATCAAAATTATCAGAAAATTATTAACCCCCCCCCCCCCAAATTCCAAAATTGACTATGGATACAGTTTCAACTGTCTGCCACATTGTGTTCCCAGCATATTGTTTAGAGTGTTCTCTGTGTTTTAATAGTTACAACCTAAGTATCACAGAGGTTAGGGTGGGGTTTTAAACTGAGTTTGTTAGAATGAATATTGTGTTTCTTTTAAGGCATAACGATTAAAATTACATGTAATATTGTAACCTATTGTAAAAAACCCCTATGTACTCCAAACACTTGAAACTAAATGTTTAAAATAAATGTTGGCCAAAGTATACAGAGTCATTATTTTGCAACATGTCATGGTATAAGCAAGAATGAGACACCAACAAGCAAATGGGAGTGCCTATCGTCAGTGTCTTCAAACAGAAAAACCCTAATGTATATTGATAGAGTGGTATAGTTAAAAGCATCTTTTGTTGTAGTAGGTTGTTGTGACTTCGTATGGGCTGTTTTGGAAATGAAAGTGTTTATAGGAAGGGAAGGAATATCCTTATGCATTCTGTTCAGGTTGTAAAGTTCTCAATACAGTGCAGTAAATCGGTTGGATGTGGTTTTCGGGGATTTGTAAATTGTAAAGTATATGCTTTAGAATCAATGCTCACAAGTGGGGTTGAATGAGAGAACTACGATGAAAAATGGTAAGAACAACTAAGGGGGTTTGTTTTGATTTTTTTTTTTTTTTTTTTTTTTTTTTTTTTTATATTCAACACGAGGAGACAAAAG